GCTATCTGGACGGAAAAAAGTTCGAAACAAAGGATCAGGTCAGAAAGGCGCTCGACGACTTCTTCAAGTCCCAGCCTCCGTCGTTCTGGAAGGATGGAATCGACAAGCTGCCTGAGCGCTGGCGTCGAGTAGTGAATGGTGATGGTGCATACCTCTAATCTCCAGGCTGGTTCGTTTTTGAGATATTTACAAAAAAGTCGTGTATAAGAACTTATGCAACAACCTAATAGTACTGCAATGACTCTAAAATTTGCCAGCTCAGGGGACAGTTTATCTGGTGGAGTGTCAAGGATGCGGACAAAAATATGTGGGAGAAACTGGAGGCCCCTCTACAAAAGGATCGACGAACACCGGAGAGCGCTGGGGAATCCACCTTCCTACCCTAACAGCAGTTTCTCCAGGCACAATGAACACGCTCACCAAGAACCCCCTCATTAATCATCAAAGCACTACACCGCTTAGTAGAGAAGGAAAGGAAAATATTTAGGCTTTGGAAATAAAACGGATATCACCAGAAATAAACAACAGGGAGGAGCTACGTGACATCATGCAAGATATGTGATCGCGCCACAAGTATCCCACTATTTAAGGGCATGGTTGGGGTGGGTTGGTCATTTATTTCGGGACAACTGGTAAGTGGCTTGGTGGGGGTGGGGTCCGTGCGGGTTGCACTTTGTAGAAGGTATAACCAACAAAACAAGCTAAATATTTTCAGGCCTGACGAAGGTGCTACGCACCGAAATATCGCAAGATAAGATATTTTGAAAAACTTTTGAGACTTTTGCTGTCTTTTGAGTTTTTTGGAATAAACTTTTGGAGTTTCACATTGTTATTACACACTTCAGATGTGTTGTGAAAGTTTATTTTTTTTAAATCTATGCACTCGTATACATTTTGACTTCATGTGGCGTTTTTTGTTCAGCAGAAATCGAAAAAGTTGAAGAAGAAGAAGAAGACTCATCAGGTGTAGAACGAGCCCTGACTGCGGAGGCACTTAACAATGAGGTCAGGCAATATTTCAGAATCTGAACTCCACGGTTTTCAAAAATGTACTAATTGAATCTTTAGATTGTTAGAATGCGCCCTGTGATAAATAAGGCCCGAACTTCCCTCGTCAGGCACCTCGTAAGGAAACTGAAGCGTTTCAAATCAGTAAATGAAAAGAGACCGTCAGAAGCACTTCAGAAGAAGATGCTAAGATACCAGGAGGAAATCCACGCAATGAAGGTAAGCACTGAATTGGCCATCCCTAATCACTAAGCGTGCGTTCACGTTTTGCGCCAGTGTTTTGGGCTTGTGCCAGCGTTTTCGGCGACTAGAGGAACGATTGTTTCAGAGAGGATAGAGTAGGAGGCTGGCAGAAACGCAGATCGATACCTATGTTTTCTTAGTTCGCTCACAGCGCTGGCTTACGTCAAACGCTTTTCGACAGCTTATGAGCTTCCTAAGCTCCTCAGAAAGTAAAACGAGTAAAAACTGGGAGTGGGAATAAACGTAGAGTAAGGAACGCACAAGTAGGAGTATGCACCTGTAGAGGTGTCTCTGAAGTGGAGAAGCATTCGTGTAGTACGCAATTCGGTGCTCTTTATCTGTCAATGCTTAGATAACGGCATCGCCAGCAAAATAAGGAGATTCAGCATATTGTTATTTTAGAGCGTTCCAAGGGATGATGTTTCAAAATTCGCGCTACTTAACAAAAAGAGTTTGAATGAACTCCGTATTACGGTAGGTAGGTTTTCGATGTTAGCGTTTTTTTCTCCATATGATAATCTGTGTTTGTAGGGTACGACCCCAGTCAATGAGCGCTGCCTCTTCAAGCTTTCCTGCGAGCGTTGTGTAGTGAAAGCAGTTGAAGAATATCGGTATGGTATTTGGTTCTCAAAAAAGAGCAATTGCCATTGTATGAGCACCACTGCAGTAACAGTTTTAGTGCTCGATATCCGTCTTGGGAAGTGACTACCGCATTTCTCCTTCAACGTCTAGGCCTACAGTATTCGGTCGAGAAAGGAGTCGAAAATCTGTTGTCACACAATTCCAGCATGGCTGACGATTCTACAGCAAGTCAAGGAGCATGTACTAGCAGAAAGCCGATCACAATGGTGACTACCAAAACGTCTCTGGATGCCAAAAGCGCAAAAAAGCCGAGGCTTGCTGAAACCGCAAAAAAGCCGAGGCTTGCTGAAAGCATAGGGGACTCTTATCACCGAGTGGACAGCGTGGAGGACTCTGAATCACCTGATGAAGAACATTATGTTGAAATTGGTTCGGATAGCAATGACGATGAGGATCAAGCTGTGGAAAATCGTAGGAAATTGGTTCGTATCTCCTTCATTCCAAACGTTTCTTAACTCTAGCAAGAAAACTCACATTCTAGCTGTTGGGTACTGCAAAGGAACCGATGAAGGTGAACCAGGAGAAAAGGAAAAATCTGAAGGTCAAACATAAGGGAGATCGAGTCGTAATGCCTTCAACATCTAGTAGTGAAAACGTAGTTACGGTAAGCTTACTATTTGAGCGCTTTATTTTTGCACATTGTTCAAAGAATTTGTTCTCATTTTATGCTTCGCTAGTGGTGTGATTCTTTTTCAGTACAAGAAACCCTGTCACAAATCACGTCAATATTGAATTTTTAGTCGAACTCCATTACGTAGACGTTGAGACTCCAGTCCTACTTACGTTGAACGCAAGTCACTATTTGTCATCCAGCTCACTTTTTTCAATAATTGTCATTTACCAAACAACATCCATTTCTAAGGAACAGCATGGTATTTGTTCCATTCTAGGCTGTTGTGAAACAAGTGAAGCTAGGCAAAGGAGGAAAGATAGAATTAGAAAAACCTGTGGAAAAGGAAACTGTTGGCAAGGTATCCAGTGAAGCCCGTAGATATGAGCATTCAACCCCGCACCGCGGCTTTTTCCTTCCTGCCTCACCTGCTCTTCAGATCGGTAAGTTTCGTATTTGCGAGTAACGAGCGATATTTGTTTTAATTCTCTGAATTGCGTCCAGCTTCTCTCTTCATAAAACCTCGGCATTATTGTGAACTTTTGAGACTAATTTCTTCTGCCAAAGAGGTTGGTAGGTGGAAGACTTTATTGAAAATGGCCTGACGTTTCGACAGGATCGTCGTCCTCAGAGGCCTAAACATAGCTCAAGGTTTAGATGTTGCATGCTCTAGACCGTCAAACGCCTCGACTAGCGTTTGATGGAATCTTAGGAGAACTACCGAGGAAAGCCCGAATGTGAGAAACGAACTTACCACTTCACTACCACATGAGCGGAACGATGCCACTCTGTTGTTTAGTAAGTGAGACAGTGTGCTGTCCTGAGTGTGCTGTCCTTACACAGCAAGTATAATTAGGAACGGCACGTCTCACTGTTCACATCAATAGCTCGCAATGTAGCATGAATGACAAGAGGTCATTCGTAACGGACAAACACTCGATTCGCCTTGCGGAGATCCGGAAGGCCTCTAGCGCTTTTCTAGCCGAAATTTCAGTCTCGAATGCCAGAATTCTGCACTTCACATCAAAATCGTTTCCGCCGTGCTCTTCGATCAAATGCCTGCCAAGCGGTGTACGCGTATTGCCGCGCCTTTTACCAGCGAGGTGCTCTTTGATACGTATCGCCAGTGTTCTTCCAGTCTCCCCTATGTAAGTTGCGTTACATGTCTGACACTCAAGTTGGTAGATCACGCCACTTTTAGCGCAATCTCCTCCTAGTCCGTGCGGACATATGACGCAATGCTCTGATATGCACTGCCTGTCATAGAGCCTATTTCGCACGAGTTGACGCTTGATATTATTGTAAGGAATACTCACTAAGGCTGCGTTTATACTTTGCGGCAGCGTAGCGTAGCGCTTCCAGCGTTTCACTAGCGTTTCGCTAGCGTTTGCCAGCGGCGGGGCTAGAGAGTATAGAAGAGTAGGAGAGTACAAAATACTCGGCGGCGCTAGAGAGTATAGAAGAGTAGGAGAGTACAAAATACTCGGCGGCGCTAGAGAGTATAGAAGAGTAGGAGAGTACAAAATACTCGGCGGCGCTAGAGAGTATAGAAGAGTAGGAGAGTATTTTGTACTCTCCTACTCTTCTATACTCTCTAGCCCGCCGCTGAAACGCTAGCGAAACGCTCGTGAAACGCTGGGAGCGCTAGATCGATAGCTATGCTCCCGTGCCCTCGCTACGCTAGCGTACGCTGGTGACGCTGGGAACGCTAGATCGATATCCTTTCCCCGGCACTGCCGCTGGCGTACGCTGGAAGCGCTACGCTACGCTGCCGCAAAGTATAAACGCAGCCTAACACAACATCGTCGCCTGGCTGCGCTCGAAAAAGACATCTTTGAATTGCGGCAGTCACTTTATCAGATATGAATGGTATACATAAGGGGATTTTGTCTTGGCGCGGGACGCTCCGATGCTCAGTGTGAGTTCGTCCGCGATTTCGATTTCCTGGTACAGCATAGCCGTTTGAAGCAGCTATGTTGGAAGCAAGGCGTATAGACTCTTGCCGCTCTGCCGCACCTGTGCACACGTTTGCAGCCGTCCTGAACATATTCCTAACTACTGCATGTTTCGTGGCAGAAGGGTGAGCAGAAGTGGCATGAATCAAGATGTTCATGCCACTTCTGCTTCCGCACTAACAGCGAGTGGTATCGTTCTGCTCATGTGGTGGTGGTGGACTGGTAAGCTTCGTTTCTCACATTCGGGTTTTCTCGGTAGTTCTCCTAAGATTCCGCCAAAAACGCTAGGGTGTCGAGGCGTTTGGCGGTCTAGAGGATGCAACATCTAAACCTTGAGCTATGTTTAGGCCTCTGAGGACGACGATCCTGTCGAAACGTCAGGCCATTTCAATAAAGTCTTCCACCTACCAACCTCTTTGGCAGAACAAATTACAACTTAAAAGTTCCCTTAATTGCTTCCTCTTGATCAAACGCATTTTTTTTAAAAATCTAGGCTGTAGGCGTTTCGTTTGGTTAGTATTACTCTCCGTTAAATTGTTTACCAGGGTGTTATTCTTACCTATAGAGATATCATTCGTTTGAATAGCAGCTTTGCAGAACCTCTACGAGATAAGGGAAGTGGTGACGTTGCACCTCCAGCTCGCTCAGAAAGCGCTGCCTCGAAAAGTAGCGAATCCGCTGCCAAATTGACGAAGCTGAACAAGAAGAAGAATAGAAACTCTACGGAAACCGGAAGTACCTCGCTGCTCAAATCTCAGAGGCACTCAAATGCCAAGGAGTCACAGATTCCTACCGGTAAATTCTTCTTAACTTCCCTTCTGGACGAGCAACTTTGGTCAAACTTGGTAAACATTATGGACTGAGGAGTTTTTCCAATTCGGTTACTGGGCCATTGGAGTCTCAACATGAACTCTTTAATCTCTTTTGCATATAACTTTAAATCTCTTTTGCTTACTTTAACTGAGGAGACATCCTCGACTCGCGCCCCTTTCCCTTCTGCGTCCTATTGATACATTGTTGAGTTGGCATTGTGGGACAGCCTGCGTTTTCTTTCGACGAAAAATATTAATCTTAAGGCGCTTTGCATTAAAAAATACTATGTTAGAACCCAACGCAGCCAATATATCATTTCTTTGCTCTGATAGCACTTTTACAGAACCTCTGCGACATAAGAGAAGAGGTGATCTTGCAGCCCCAGCTCGCTCTGAAACCACTTTGAAGAGTCAGGAATCCGTTGCCAAACTGAAGAAGATTAATAAAGAGAAGGATTGGAGTTCTGCAAAAACCGAAGGAAAATCGTTGCTCAATTCCCAGGCTTATACAAATGCCAAGCAGTCGCAGATTCCTATCGATCGTTTGCTTTTACCCTTCCTTTAGGGCGGGCAACTTTGGTCAAGTTTAATGAACATTTTGGTGGGATCATTTGAGAATTATTTTTTGGATATGACTGCTAGGCGGATGGATTCTCTCTGCTGTACTTGGAACCTTCTTTGCTTACTCTCTACACTGCGACGACATGTTCGTTAGCACATCAACTCCTACAGTTTTGTTCGCGTGGATGCTGGGGCTTGCTGGAAGGGAGGGGGGGGGGGGCAGAGGGAGGAGACTGGGTTTTTTGCGACACCAGCTCGTTTTCCACCAACTGCTGTCACCTGCTCGCCTCAACAAGTGGTGGAGAACGGGTTCTCGCCACGCCAGACCCAGCCCCCCGAAACGCTCAACATCTGGAGCGAACAAGGTGCATTTGCTATTAATATGTTCGTAATCTTGCCACTTTTTTCTTCGCTTTCTCCGCAGGCGAATCCGCGTTTATTTTTTTGCGGGGAAATTCATTCCTATGCTGGGATGCTTTTACATCAACACTAATACCAAAAATGATATATCACCTTAGCCACTGTTGAGAAGGTTCCCGTTGTTTCTAATCTGTTCCCAAATCGGCTGTTCCAGAAGTAGTTCGGAATGAATGAATCTGGATATTTTAGGATACTTTCTCAGAATATGTGAGCTATCCTGAATGGAAATCTTGTAGTCGTTCTTGGCTATTCGGAAGACATGTGCTAGTTTTTGGAGTTGTTTTGTTATGATAACTGCTGTTTTACGCCACAGTTAGCGTTCCGAAAGTTATCACAAGAATGCTGAGTTATGGGCAAAAGTCGTGTTCCCCAGGCGGGAGTCGAACCCGCTTCTCACGCTTTTCGGGCGACTGCGCTATCTGTTACGCCACCAGGGCCGCTCTTACCCTCATTCGACTCACCCATGTTAAACATGTAAGTGCTGTAAGGCTACGGCATAAAAGCCGTTAAGCTGAGAGGGTAAAAGCGGCCCTGGTGGCGTAACGGATAGCGCACTCGCCCGGAAAGCGTGAGGTGCGGGTTCGACTCCCGCCTGGGGCTGACTTTTGCCCATAACTCAGCATTCTTGTGATAACATATGCTAGCGTTTTCTGGAAACTTCAATGGTTCTGCCAACAATGTTCTGATTTTAGATGGTTTAAAAATACATCAGTTCTCTTCAGAAGAGCTACATCCCTCGTGGGCTGCTCGTCGTCGTGCCAAAGAACAGCAAAGCTCTGCACCTAAAGGCAAACGAATAGTTTTCAGTGATGACTAGTTGTTGCATATGTTGATTGACGTTATTGTTATCTGTTTTTGTTGTGTTTGTTGTATATGTGTTTATATTGGCAAGTAGATTTAATGCTATTCGTTGTGGTTGGTGTTCGTCTGGAATTTACCACCAGTAATTCCTTGATGAATCGAAAACGTTTAGTGTGGAGTCATCGCTTATAGGAATTTTTTTCTGTTCAAGAAAGAACTATTATGACAATTATCGATAGTTGATAAGTTCAGAAGAAATACCTGTGCGCAGTGCTGCTCGCTGACGACCAGATGTGGACCTGCAACATTTTGGAATCAAGTTCTATTTGTGTTTGAAATGTTGTATTTCGCCTGTACATTTAAGTCATCGAAACGTGAGCTGTCCTCTCCTTCTATTGGAACTTACCGGTATATATGCGGCTGGAGCTTGTACGTGCTATATTTCTAGGGTGACCTCACCTTAGAAAGGCTTGTCAAGATGGGTATTTCATCATGTCCATGAACCAGGGACCAGTGAGATCTGACCAATAAAACTACCGTCTCAAAGGCAGTTGGCACGATAAATCCCCCAAGGCGACTAGGATCAATACTCCTGGCAGGATAGAATTCCGCGACCCTGGGCAGGCGCTGCATAGCGGTTTCCCCGAGGAAGGTGCCCTTATAAGGGCCCTATCAAGCCACAACTTTACGTCCCAAACGCCCGCCCACAAATGGACGACCGTTCCTGACGCTCGTATTCATTCATTTGCTAAGCAAA